GTGGGCAGGCGGACAGGCTATTGAAGAGATCTGAGTAGAAGTCATGGATAATCTTCTCCATTGCCCATCTAGAAGATGTGATAGATCCATCAGGATGTCAGAGGGCAGTCATCTTGGTCTTGTAGTTGGTGAAGGACAGGCGGGTATTGCGAATGCTTCTCCGGGCTTCTGCTGCATCTACCAGCACTGCTGCTATTCTCTCTTTGAGAGCTTCCTTTATCTCATCCCTGCACTGCTTTGCAAGCTCGGATGTTTGCTTGTGGTTGCCGGAGGCATGCACCAAGCCACGTTGGTGAATAAGCTCAAGAGTTTTTGAAGACAGGCATTTTTTTCTATCTCTTTGAGATAGCCACAGTTTTGCTCATTTTTTATATATCTAATATCTGTAGAACAGTCCTCCTGTTGTTCATCGATTTGCTCGAGCGGGCACCAGTAACATCTCCATTGTGAGACTCGTTGTTACTGTTTTTTTAATATGCCCCGGGGAGCTTGCCAGGCTTTGTGATGTGGGCGGGATACTCTTGGTAGCTTGTAGGGTTCTCTGAGAGGAGCAGAGGAATTGAACCCTGGTTGGCCACATGCAAGGCAAATACCCTACCTGCTGTGGTATTTCTCCACAATTTACATAATTTACTGATTTTTATTCATTTACCCCAAACTTTGTTTCTTTACATTTAAAATATATCACTTATAAGATTTATAGGAATGGTCTCTTATTTTTAAATTAATTCTGATGATCTAACATTCTGATTTTTCTTTCATTAACAGTCAACTTTACACTTAATTTCTGTTTGACTTTGTGTTCCTCTGGTCTTCATGCATTCTTTGGCTACTTGCACTATTTAATTCATTATAACTCTGTTGATTATTTATTTTTTATTTGGAGGCCACAGCCAGCAGGGCTCAGGACTTAATGTTGACTCTGTGCTCAGAAATCAGACCTCTAGAGGACCATAGAGTCAATATTGGAGTCAATATTCCTTTATTTCTCACATATGAAAGAGATCATTAAGTGACAGTCTTTCTAGATGAACTTACATAACATGTTATAGTTCAGTTAGATTATTATGATGCCAAATTAATTCATTTCAATTATTCTTATGGCCAGGTAGTATTTCATTGCATTTTTATACTACAGTTTCTTTATCCATCATCTGTTATTGGAGACTGTTTTTTTCCCTAGATCTTGACTACTCTAAATATTGTTGAAATGAACATAGAAAAGTCAAATTTTTCTACGGAATAAAATTTTGGACCCTGGATACATAACTAGAAGTGGAATTTTGAGTCATATAGAAGGTTTATATATATATATGTATGTATATCAAGAAATATCTATTGTACTGCAAAGAAATTAAACAGCTGATATTCCCACCACTAGAGGGTGAAGGTTCCTTTATTCTCACATCTGCACCACATTGGTTATTGTTTTTTTGTTTGGTTTCTGTTTTATTTTGTTGCCACACTCTGCAATGCTTAGGGGCTACCATGAGTTCTGCGCTCAAGAATCACTCCTGGTGGTGCTCTGGGTTGAGATGCTGCTGAATGAATCCCAGTCAATTGTGGTAAGGCAAGTGCCTTACCAGTTGTACTACCTCTCCAACCCTAACTCTGGTTGTTTTTGTTTTATTTCATATATGTCAAAGAATTCAGCACTATCAACCATATCCACACGATAACCAAGCTCATTGAGGTTTCTCAGGTGTTCAAGATGCCGCTCTGTCTAACGTTCATTGACTAAAGAAGGCCTTTGATTCTGTTGAGATGGAAGCGGTCATTGAACCCCTAGCCAATCAGGGCATTCAAACTCAATACATCAGGATCCTCCATGAGCTGTATTACAGATTCACTACCAGGATCTCATCATTCTACAAAGAAGTGATCATCCATGTCAAGAGAGGGGTTCGTCAGGGTGATACTATCTCACCAAAACTCTTCAGTACCACCCTCAAGAACGTCATGCAACGACTAGAATGGGAAGGAATGGGAGTAAAGAAAGACGGTTGGCAACTACACCACCTCCGCTTTGCTGATGGCATCGTTCTAATAACACCAAACATTAGCCAAGTGGCACAAATGCTGACCAACTTCGACCGAGAGTGTGGAAAGGTCGGACTACAGCTGAATCTCACAAAGACAATGTTTATGAGAAACAGTCTCGTTCCTGACGTTCCATTCACTCTCAATGGAATGAACATCTCCGAATGCAACAGTTCTGTGTACCTAGCTCAAGAAGCCAACATGACGAATGACCTGGCATCTGAGTTACACAGGAGGAAGAGAGCGGTTTGGAATGCCTTCAAGAGCATCAAAGAAATAACTAAGAGGATGAAGAACCTCTGGCTCTGGGCACATTTCTTCGATTCCACTGTTCTTTCTGCATTAGCACACATCTCAGAGACCTGGGCCCTACAAAAACAGAATGAGAACGCTATTCGGGTCTCCCAAAGAGCAATCGAAAGATCCATGCTTGGAGTATTGCGTTTCACTCAAATGAGAGAAAGAATCCGGAGTTCCGACCTCAGTCGACGGTCAAGACTCAGGGACGCTGTCTCATTTGCCAAGGTGTTGAAAATCAAATGGGCTGGATATGTAATGAGATTTGGAGAAGACCACTGGACTAGAGCCGTTATCGACTGGATTCCAGGGGACATCAAAAGACCATGTGCCCGCCCCCCTACCAGATGATCAGACTTCTTCGTCAAGATCTTAAACTACCGGTTTGAGGTTCTTTATGTTCCTAGAACGAACAGGCGCCATTGTGCTACACTAGCATGTGACAGGGACAAATGGAGACATTAGTGGCACCCACTCGAGCAAATCAATGATTAATGGGAAGTCAAGTGATCAAGTGATATATGCCAATCTTACTGGTGTGAGATGATAGTATTTTGATTTGCACTTCTCTGATGATACGTAATACAGAGAATATTTTCAGATAACTATTGGTCATCTTCATCTGTATGTATGTCTTTTTGAGAAAGTGTCTCTCTCTTTTCCCCATTTTTGATGGGATAGTTTATTTTTGTTGTTGATTGTAAAAGTGCTTTATTTATCTTTGTGAGATAAGTAGTAGGCAAACATTTTCTCCCAATCTTTGGAGTAGTCTTTTCATTCTATGCATGATTTCTCTTATGGTGCAGAAAATTCTTAGTTTGATGTAATTGCATTTGTTCATCTTTACTTCAATTACATGATCAGTTTCATTGAGTTACTGAAGAAGTTTTTTTTTCTTTTTGGGTCACACCCAGGAATGCACAGAGGTTACTCCTGGCTCTGCACTCAGGAATTACTCCTGGCAGTGCTCAAGGGACCATATGGGATGCTAGGAATCGAACCCGGGTCCGCAGCATGCAAAGCAAACGCCCTACCCACTGTGCTATCACTCCAGCCAGGGTTTGATTCGTCCACTCCTCTCAGAGAGCCCGGCAAGCTACTGAGAATATTCCACCAGCACGGCAAAGCCTGGCAAGCTACCCATGATGTAATCAATATGCAAAAAAAAAATAGTAACAAGTCTCACCATGGAGACGTTACTGGTGCCTGCTCGATAAAATCGATGAACAAGGGAGGACAGTGACAGTGACTGAAGCAGTCTATATATTCAATGTCATGAAGAGTTCTGCCTGTGTTTTCCTCAATGCGACTTTTGAATTTAGATGTTATATGGAGATCACAAATTTATTTTGAATTGACTTTTGTGATTGGTGTGAGATAGGATATGGGCACTTTTTTTTTTTAAACACATCACAGACGAGTTTTCCTGACATCATTTATTGAAGTTTTCCTTGATCTGGTTCATACTCCTTTTTCTTTTATCAAAGATTTGTTGTATGTATACCTAAGAATTTGTCTCTGGGCTTTTAATTCTATTTCATTAATCTAAATGCTCATCTTTATTCCAGTACTCAACTTGATTTCTAACACTTTAGAGTGTGGTTTGATGCTGAGCAAGGAGAAATCATCCATATTCGTCTTTCTTTGGATTGTTTGACTATTTGGGTGAATTATTACTCATGTAAATTTCAACAGCATTTTGCTTATGTCTCTAAAATATATTACAGGAATTTTTATAAGGCCTGCATTAAATTTGTATAGAGGTTTTAGTAAGATTATCTTTTTAAAATTGGAATCCTTCTGATTCACAGACAGAGGATGTGCTGCTATTTCTTTGTAGGTTTTCTTATTTATCTTAGTAGTGATTACTAGGGGTGTTTTTTTGTAAAAGACTCTCACTTTAGATAAGGTACAAGCACTCAATTTTTGTGATATGCAATATTGTATAAAGGAGATATCTCAAAGGACTATTTCACATGTTTTGCATGTCTGGAGTCAAGGTGTAATATTGGGCACCACATTACATTCCAAACACTACTAGGAGTATCCCCTAAACACCAAGCCAAGAGCAACTAGTCCCAAAATATCAGCATTACTGGTGTGACCCAAAAAACAAACAAAGAAAAATTACATGTTAATAGCAGTGTTTCTCTCTATTGTAGAATTTTAGGATAATTTATTTTGTTCTTTTCTAAGTTTACTAATTTATTATAACTAATACATGTTACTTTTGTCTAATTTTAGCTTAAATATACATAATATGAATCATGCATTACATATTAGCATATATATTAATATTAACACATTAAGTATTAACACATAAATACATGGTACATAATATGAATCATTTATATATGTGACAAAATTCTTGTGTGAATTATGGTATTTAAGGCAAAATATCTTGAAATATTTTCTTTATGTTTTTGATGTTGTTAAATTAAAACCATAATATTTTTATGTCACTCCTACTGTCTACCAAATAGCCAATCTAGATCAAATGGATTTTTATGTAAATAAGACTGATTTAGCTCAACAACTTTGAGCATAAAATAACCTTGTTACAATATGAAAGTTACCTTAAGACTTCTCCCAAACCTAAGTGGCTTTATCTGTTAACTTTTTACAATGAATAAGTATCAATATCTTTTTACCTTCTTTTTTAGGGAGTTCCTCTCCTCAAATTATAGTGAAACATTATACTCCCCAAATGGAGAGATGATCACCAGGCATCCTGAGATTATGGTAATCTAGGGGACATTATCTTTTCTAAAACTATTATTTCCTGTGCTATTTTGAAGCTCAATTCTAATTTACAAGCAGCTTCAAAAAGTGTAACAACAGAAATAAACACTGCATCAATTACTTTCACACAGTGATCCAGGAATAGAAAATATGATCCTTTGACCCCCAAAGTGTATTGATTTCTGCCTAACAAGAAAATCAATGATTGTTAATGCATTTCTTTACCAAACTCCCTTCTACATAATCAAACAAAATAGATAAAACCTAAGTATATGAAGCAATCTTAAAACCACAATCTCTTTGATTCTCCTATGATTCACATCCTATTTTATGGTCATGATGCACCAACATTGTTTAGTATGGTAGATATTTTAGATTGAATGAAAGAGATTTTTTTCTTTTTGGGTCATACCCGGCGATGCACAGGGGTTACTCCTGGTTCTGCACTCAGGAGTTACTCCTGGCAGTGCTCAGGGGACCATACGGGATGCTGGGAATCAAACCCGGGTTGGCTGCATGCAAGCCCTACCCGCTGTGCTATCTCTCCAGCCCCAAATAAAAGTTTAATTTTAAAGAAAAGTGTCACATTTTTGAGTCTAGTATCATAGACTAATATGCTCCTAAATTTTTCAGGAAAGAATATTTATATATTTATATTCAGACCAGAGGGTTGCATGCAGTCAACCCAAGTTTAATTCCCCAGCACTTCATATGGTTTCCTTTAGGTATTCTTATAAAAGAATTCTAAATCCTCTATTGCTCTATAAAAGAAATTGTGAAATTAAAAAAAACTCTATAAAATAGTTCCTCAATTTTCCAAATTGGTAAAGAATTAAATAAAACTTGAATGAATATAAGCATTATTTGTTACACTGAAATAATATTTATTAGGAATAATAGAAAATAACATAAATATGTTCATTTATACCATCAGCCTTTTAAAATCTGTTTTAGGATCATTGCTTTTACCAAGGGACAATTGTACATGAACATGATTCTTCAGCCAGCATCAGCACATGTGATGGTCTGAGGTACCCCCCTAATTTCTTTCTATGTATATTTTGATTTTTATCTGTGGATCTCCAAGGACATTAGCTTCAATATTTTTTAAAAGTCTAGTATAGAGAAACGTATGATGAAAAACTCTATTATATATTATTGGTGTCAGTATCCACTTCTGCCTATATTTTATGGTCATTTTGACCAAAAAAAAAAAGTCAACATGTCTCTAACACCCAGATCTCTGAAAACAAGTTGTTTATTATATATACTGAAAAATTTGTAATTTGACTTGTTAGAGATCTCTGAAAACAAGTTGTTTATTATATACCCAGATCTCTGAAAACAAGTTGTTTATTATATATACTGAAAAATTTGTAATTTGACTTGTTAGAGATCAAGACAATAAAATTAGAAACTACACTTGAGCACTCATTGTATTAGTGATCCAAAATACACACCTACTGAATTCTTATCTTGTGAATTCCCACATTTCAATGATGGACAATTTTTTACAAAATCAGACTGTTACATTCTCTATATGCCAGAAGGTCAAAATTAATAACTATATCAGTCATCATTAGGTGTTGGGTTCAAGGACAGAGGAAAACACAGAGAGGCAAAGGGTCAAAATAAGTAGTAACTAGAAAGTTTTTATTTAAAATGTGAGTAACTTCAATTCTCCAAGAGGAGAACCCAGTTAGTGAAAAAATTACCACGTAATTTTCTATTAGCTGCATGATGGTTGCAAAAATTCACACATACAAAAAAAAAGGAAATACACAATTGCAAGAGTTTATGCTTTTCAGGTATTCACATCCCAGAGGGTTTGCATCCCAGAGGATTCAACCCCAGAGGGTAATTGCTACTCTACATATTTTCAAGTAGTTATTACGCTGGTGAACATATAAAAAATTCACATAAATTGACACAAATTAATTTATTGTTACTGAGACCAGTTGTCACATGTTATTTAATTTTTTATCACTTTTTATCACTCAGTGGGCTGGAGAGATAGCACAGTGGTAGGGTATTTGCCTTGAGCACAGCCGGTATGGCTGAGGCAGGTTCAATTCCTCCGCCCCTCTCGGAGAGCCTGGCAAGCTACCGAGAGTATTTCGCCGCACGGCAAAGCCTGGCAAGCTAGCCGTGACATGTTCAATATTCCAAACACAGTAACAACAAGTCTCACAATGGAGATGTTACTGGGCCCGCTCGAGCAAATCGATGAACAACGGGAGGACAGTGCTACAGTGCTTATCACTTAGTATACCTGGTTGCATGATCACAAAGCTTGACCTTAACTTTTCATTCCTTAAGATGGCAAAATCAATACTAATACAATAGAATAATATCATGTACTTATACAGCAGTAATAAATAATAAATAAATAAAGGCCCTCCCGTTGATCGTCGATTTGCTCGAGCAGGCCCAGTAACGTCTCCATTGGAGACTTTGTTGTTACTGTGTCTGGCATATCGAATACTCTCGGTAGCTTGCTGGGCTCTCCGAGAGGGGCGGAGGAATCGAACTCGGGTCGGCCATGTTGGCCGCGTGTAAGGCGAACGCCCTACCCGCTGTGCTATCGCTCCAGTAAAATGGAATAAACTTTGTATATATATATGTATATATATATATATATATTTAATTTCTACAGGGGTTTCTTCAGGATAAATGATCACAGGTACCTCATTAAGCCAGTGAAATATTCAGAGGATGGAGAACATTTGATATTAAAATATAATCCAAGGGTGAAGTTTTCTGCCAATTATTCTTGTACAGAGCCGAATTTTACCACAACAGCTGTTCTAGAGAACAATACTAAATCAACTGAAGATCCCAAAATGGCCGTGAGTGTTTCATTTTAAAATTTTTTTACCTCAAGTGAAATGCTTCTATTTCCTCTAAGATCTTTAATGTGATTATGTTTGTGATGGAGTATTTGCTGAGTCTTTGCTCTTTATTATTTTTAAAGCTGACATATCAAAATTTTATTGTTGAAACTATATAGAAAGTTTCCCCAGAGTAAATCTCAGTTTTGCTATCTATTTCAAGAAAGAATCTACCTACCATCATATTAGGAACATTGCAGAAACAACTGAACAGAAAAGAGAGGCTTTAATAGCAATGAAACAACTTAAGTTGAAAAGAATGTTTACTAGCTGTTCACCAGCACTGGTCATATTGAATTCAAAATAAGGTATTTAAGTCCAACAGAGATAGAGTGACATAACAACTAATACATATTATAGCAGATTTTCAATAAACTCAGATGCATTCACAAGGGAGATCATTGAACATGCACAATTGAGGAACATACAGTAAACATACGTCTCATGTACAGAAGATGGTGGAGGATTGCCATCAGGGGTGTGTTTATAATATGGCAATAAAGTGCTAGGAGGCTAGAGGTCTAATGGGTTCTATTGCAGTTTACACTAGTTGGTACTGTCTGTTTAAGGGCCTATGGTCCTTATCAGTGCAAAAGTGTTCTTAAACTTCGACTCTGGCCTAATCAGAGCAAGAGAATGCAGTAGGGAAGGATCTTTGAGGACGAAGCTGTCACAGCCTCAAATTATTAAACAAACCCCTGGCCTGTCTTTTATTTTTTTTCTAAACCCAGAGAATCCATCTATAAAAATTAATGGGGGAACGGGGAAAGAAAACTTTGATGCTACCAACCCTCAATAGTTACACAGCAGTAGGGCTTTCACTGTGAATCATGAAATTTACCATGTCTGGAAATTCACAGTGTCTAGAAAACTGTCCCCTTGTCTCCCCTGTTATTGACTAAGGATATTTATAACAATCTAGATTATTTTCTTTTTCCCCTTTAATTTGGCCGAGTGTTCAAATTGCTATGGAAAATTCCGAGAGTAACAAGTTAAAATTTAACCTTGGTGATTACATGATGAGTATTCTCTGTGTTTTAGGCTTTTCTACATAGCTAGTTGATGCCTTCTAAACTCCTACAGATGTTAGTCTTTAAGCTCTGTGAGTACTCATTATGTACACATCCAATGACCAGTAGATGAAACACCAAGTGGATAGTTTTTGTTTGAATAAATGAACTTTTAAATGATTACTTAATCCCCAAAAGAGTTAAAGCGAAAGTGTAATTATTGAACATTGTCAAATCTGAGAACAGTATCCCTTAGGCTTATACTTGCAAAATACACATTTAACTCAATACATGAAACTGAAAACAAAAATCAAATTCATTGTATATTTTGGGATTTAGTAAAATATTAAATACTGAGTCATATAAAGAGCAAGCAGATTTTGTTTAGGTCTATTCCTAGAACTATTATATCTACTTCTGTACCACATCTTCCTGTATCAAAATACCATCTCATACCTAGAATACATTATGAAATATCAATATGTCAAATATTAACTACACTTTAATTAAATTTTCAGAATATCAATAAAGAAAAGTTTGTTGAACTATTCATTGTTGCTGATATGAATTTGGTAAGTTTAAAGATGAAATTACTCTTCATCTTTATAATATTGTGGTTGATTCTAACAAAGAATTATGAACAAAGAATTTTAATGATTCCATATAGTCTCAAAGTTTTGTTTTCAGTATTCCCAAGATGACTTATATAATAAATTAGATTTTTCTTTAGTATAGTAGATTAAGCCAAAATAGAACCCTTTGCTCCTTTGAAAAACATATGGGTGATACCAAGAAGAGAGTACAGGGGATAAGGTGAATGCTTTGCATGTTGCCAACCCTAAACAGATCCCTTGGCACTATATGATCCCTCAGGCATCAATGAGTACAGCTTTGGAGGGCCCTGACTGCAGACTATGACCATGGTGAACTCTGAGCATCCCTGGGATGGTCCAGTTAATCTCCAGCATCACAGAACCCAAACAGTACCACATACTTCGATCCTCATATTCAACTGTTAGCATGGTTGACTGAGAATCACCAAGGGGAGCCCTTGCATTCTCCTAAGTGCAATTTGTGGGCCCTATACCCCACAAAATATTAGAATGCTAAATCTATAAAAATTGAATATAGGAGCAGGGAGATAAATCAGTGGGGTGAGCACATGCTTTGTATGCAGAAGGCCTTGGCCCCACTCCTGATACTACATAGTCCTCCAAGGACCTCCAAAATAAATCCTGGAACACAGAGCTAGAGACAAGCTTTAAAAGCCATTGGGTATGCCACCCCCCAAAAAAACAAACAAAAGGAATACATATTCAACCTATAATTGAGACAAAATCAAAACATAGCATATCTCCAACTAACAGAAATGAAGAAGATAATGTCATAACAATAAGTAAAAGTCAAAGATTTGATGATCCACATATTCAGATTGCACTATAATATGCTGCATAATGCCCAAAGCCATGAAGAACTGCCCCACCCTGGAAAGAGAACCTGTTAGGCTAGGCTGACTAATACAAAGGAAGTTCTCTTTCTGCCTGACCATGAACAGAAAAATATTATGCATTGGAAAAGCAAAAAAAAAATCTAAATTGGGCCATGCAGATGTTAGAATTATATGTTAATTATATTAGAATAGTATATGTTATTGACATGTAGAAATATGAAAACTTCTTTGCATAGAAAAACTGTTTGGAAACATCGTACACTATGAAGGCAAAATGTCCATAGACATTTTATAATAAAAGATACAACTAAATATATGAGGAAGAGTTTACTAATTAAATAAAAATGAGGAAAATCTCTTCAAGAATTAATTGTAGATAATTAATGAAGTGGTATAGCTATGAAACTCAGATTCTATCCTTTACTCAGTTCCATATATAAAATGGCTCATACACTGGGACAGTTCTCACTAATACAGCCAGCTGTGACCAGAATCCTCTATATTCTGACATTAGATAAAACAAACATCCACTGTCATTTGTTCTGTGGTTAAATTCCTAGAATTTAAAGTGGTTAAAGATCTAGTCATTCTCTTACTGGGATTGGCATGAAATATTTTATATGCATCTTACTTCTTTCTCATGATTAGCTCGACCTTTCTATATACAACTCATTGGCTTCATATATTCTGCTCACCAAAATGCCAAAATTAACTAATCTATAGAAAAGCAGAAATTTACTACCTAAGCAGCAAAAGAATATAGTAAATGAATATTCAAGAATGTGCAAAGGAGGGGCTGGAGAGATAGCACAATGGGTAGGGCGTTTGCCTTGCACGTGGCCGACCTCAGTTCGATTCCCAGAATCCCATATGGTTCCCTGAGCACTGCCAGGAGTAACTCCTGAGTGCAGAGCCAGGAGTAACCTCTGTGCATCGCCAAGTGTGACCCAGAAAGAAAAAAAAAAGAATGTGCAAAGGAGGTCTTTCATTCTGGAGGACTCCACTATTTTAGTTTTCTTCCTTCAATTAAGTGATAGTCCTCATTACACAGTTTACCAACTTAACTAAAAACATGTACAACAAAAAGTGTCAGGACTGCTGGAAAAGATAGTTTTTAGCTTCCTTATACCCGAAAATTTTGGTCAATGAGGAAAATATTCAACAATAAATAAATAAATCCAAAATTATAAATATATGTATCATTCTTGATAGAATATCCTTTAGTTTACTTATTTTTCAAAATTCAAATTAATAGTTGGCAAAATATTTTAAAAATTAAAAGAATTTATTAAGAGTAGATTCAGAAGGGCTGAAGAGATAGTATAAAGGGTAAGATGCTTGTCTTGCATTCTTCTAAAGCATTCTTCAACCTCACCATCATATAAAGTCTCTGGACCCCGCTAGGTGTGGCTCCAAACCAAAAACAACACAACCAAGAAGCATAAACATAGAAAAGAGATGGACATAGCAATTACATATTTTAAAACCATCAATTGAAAGTAACTTTAAAATTATTTAAAAATTACCTATACAAAACATATGTTCCAGTCTTTTGAACTATCTCCCTATCCTGAGTAAAAAAATATTTTTACTGAGAACCAGCCACCACCATGCTGAGACCACTCTCCGCACACATGAAGGTACCAGCAGAGAAAGAAAGACACGCAGGTCCCGGGGCTGAGATCTCCAAGCCTACTCAGATCGGGGCTGAGCATCCTCCACCAAGATCCTCCAAATTCCAGTAGGCGGGGGTCACACCCACCAACTGGCCCCCTGGCACCGTGTAATCCCATCAATGGCCAAGACTCAGAGACTATAAAATTCAGTTCCCAGAAGTGCGCGGCCGCATTTGCGGCCGCGCGACATCTTATCTCATTCCTACTTTGGACAAACTGGCAGGCTACCGAATGTAACCTGCCCACATGGCAGAGTCTGGCAAACTCCCCGTGGCATACCCAATATGCCAAATACCAGTAACAATCAAGAGTCTCATTCTCCTAACTCTGAAAGAGCCTTGAATGTGGCACTTTTTAAAAAAGTCTCAGGGTTAGGACAAAGGAGACGTTACTGGGGCCTGCTTGAGGCAATCGACGAATAACAGGATGGTTGTGATTTTGTGATTTGTGACTGAGAAAATTATCAATATCTAGAAAGGTGAGAAAAAAATTATTAGTGATTTAACAATTAAGAGTACACTGATGAACTTCTCAAAAAAAAAGTTCAGCTTATTTTACAGTTAAACTAACAAGGACTATATTGAGGAGTGGGTAAAATAGGAGATTAAAGCTAATCTAATGTCATCTCTGTTTAGACTCTTGAAGGAAAGGAGAATCATCCAGAGATATAGTACAGAGGTCTGGCACTTGTGTAGTTAAATGATCTCAAGTACCACCTGGAGTAATCCCTGATTATGAATTTAGGAGTAAGTCCTTAGCCAGGTATGTAAAAATAATTAAACAGTGAAAGAAAAGAATAAATAAATAAATGTAATGGTAGATAGTCTCAGGATTCAGAAAGGGCATAATTTTAAAAAGTATATTTAAGAAATCTAGTAATAAACATTTATGCCTACAATATACTTACTATTATCAGATACATTTTTATCAGGTCTATAGTGATAGTACTAAGAAAAAAGATCCAGAAAGATCAAATAAAAATCTGTTCTTAAGACAAGATTAAAGGCTGGGGCAAGGAAAGGGTTTTGCTTTCTTGGTCTTTTTCCTAGAGAAAGGTTCTTGCCTGTCTTCAGCATATATTAGACTTCTTGGTGATTCTTCATGTATATTCCTCAATTTGCTGTCACCATTGACACAGGACCGATACATTTGCTAAAGTTGCAGTTGTTTGTCATACAATGATTTTAAATAAGTTTTTTTCATCATAGTGATAGTTATGATTTCTAAGGAACAGCTAACAGCATAGTCCATCTGTGTATTGTAAGGTAATACAAAAAAAGGGACATTAAGGATGCTAAATTGAAGAATGTTTAAAGAAACCATTTTGCTTAGCAATTTTATGTAAAAAGAAATGTGCTTTTGTGTATGTTGCTGAGATTTTAGATGTTTGAAAAAGTCAGTAATTTTTTTAAGATCTCACATGTACGAAGTGTTTTGTTCTATTTTATTTATTGTTTGTTACTAATGTTGATATATTTCTATTTCCAGTATCACAGGAATAATTATCCTCACAGTAAACTAAGGAATCGAGTATGGGGAATGATCAATTTTGTCAATATGGTAAGATTTGGTAGTCCAAATCAAACTAAAAGTATTTACTTAATAAGGACATGTAATTACTCCCTTAATGCACTCCGAACTAATGTTCATTAGGTTTTTTTAATTGCTAAAATATTTCACAATAGATTTTTGATGAATTTATGTTTCAATTCTGATATTGATTTAACTCAAATCACAAACCATTCGCAAGTTAACCAAGTAGCAAAATTTTGTTGAAAAATTTATAGCAATGAATTAACTACAGTTCTTAATCTTTGATTTACAAGATAACAGCATTTAATATTTAAATAGCTTACAGATGCTGGTCACTATTTACAAGATTTTCCACAATTTGCCTATCCATCATACACAAATCAAATCCTCTATTTTAAATCACTGTCCCATTGACCTTACATAGAAGAGAAACTTTCAGAAATTATAGCACAGAAATCAATGACAATGTTTCACTAAGCTCCACTAGGGGGGCCGGAGCGACAGTACAGCAGGTAGAGCATTTGCCTTGCACACAGCCAACCCAGATTCTATCCTCGACATCCCATATGGTTCCCTGAGCACCGCCAGGAGTGATTCCGAACAAAGAACAGGAGTAACCCCTGAGCTTCGCTGGGGGTTAAAAAGCCAAAAAAATCATGAACAACCTTGTAACTGTGATTCAATAAAAACAAGATTCACTAAAACGATTAATTTATCAAAGCTAGAATTATATTTTCAAAGGACAGCATTATGACTTGTACACATCTTTTATATGTTGATCTCTAAATTACTGTAGCTCCTTTAATTTAGGGCATAAAGTAAATGATAAAACATCACCTCTATGTCGGTAACTACTAATTTATAAAGAGAAGGATAATTTGTCTGTCTCTAGTTTTTTAACTATATTCCAATTTCTTTAAATAAATGTGTGTATCTCTCTCCCTCACTCCCCTCCTATCCAGCTTGAAAGTAAACATAATATTTAGTTGTTGTACATAAATAAGATTTACTATAAATTGTTGTTTAGGCTGGGAAGACACATGAAAACAAAAAGTAATAGTCTAAATATCCTGAGTTGCCCCATTATACCACTTCTCACTGACACTTTGCTCAACAGAATCCATAGTCATCATTTCACTTCATTCTGTCTCATTTTAATTTTATTATATTTCCATTCCTTTTATGTCAGAATTTTCAAAATAATTTCTCAATATAAAGGTTATGTGTACTCTTAACCTTTCAAGTGTGTGTAACCAAAACCATCCAAGCATTCCATTAATAAAGCATAGCTTTATGTTACAGGGTACATTCACATTAAAAACTAATATTTCCAAAGGATGTTACTTTTTGTTTACATCTGCACCTGCACACAACTTTAAATTTAAATGAAAATCCACCTATAAATGTTGAAGCTCAAGGGGGCTGGAGTGATAGCACAGCGGGTAGGGTATGTTCCTTGCACACGACCAACCCGGGTTTGATTCCCAGCATCCCATATAGTTCCTTGAGCACAACCAGGAGTAATTCTTGAGTACAAAGCCAAGAGTAACCGCATGTTACCCAAAAAGGGAAAAAAATGTTGAGGCTTTAAAAGTGCCTCAATTCAAAAAAAAAAAAACCAGCAAATAAACAAAAAGGTCTCTATTTGGTTTGACTCATCAGGCTTCCTGCATGATAAGGGATAAGGTCAGGGACAAAAGTAATGGTCATCACAAACTCCATTATAGATGGAAGTCATTATTTGACTAAAAGTCTAAGTTCGTGAGAGCTATTTTTAATACTTTTGGGAATTTGGACTCTGTGCTCAGGGATGACTCTTGGAAGTGCCTGAGAAACCAGATGTCATGCCAGGGACAAAACTGGGATCAATTGTGTGCAAGGCAAATGATTAACCCTTTTACTATCTCTCCAGCCCCATAACTTCACAAGGGTTTACTAATTTACTTAGTTGTGAAGTATTCTATTGTAAAGAAGAATCAGATTTTTTTTCATGAAAGTTTGTCTATTAACCATGATAACTAAACACTTCAAGGTCGACCATGTGTAAGGCAAGCAACATATCCCAATGCTGTCTCTTTGAACCTTATTATTATTCAGTTTTTTGCAATGTAGAGTATATTTGTTTTGTAAAATAAAAAATTAATATAATACAAAGATCTTTACACATAATTCTCCAAATATTTTCACAAATTCTGTCTTCTTTTATAATTGAATCAAAGAAACTATTAAATAGGTATTTATAAATGAAAGTGAGTGATAAATCTTATATGATACAATTTTAAAAACAAATTTTAAATAATTGCCAGTAAGATTTATTAGAACATAAAATGATTAAAAAAACAAAACTGATGAAACATATCAGAACTTTAAAAGTCAATATTAACTTTTCAATCTGCCAAATAATCAACCAATGGTCTAAAGTAAAAAAATTGAATAAAGAGAATTTCAATTGTTCCATTTTCAGTAAATTAAAATTTTCAGGTTAGTTGCAATTTAAGAGTTTTTATAAATCTTTTATTCTGGATAAATTCTGAACTTTGTCCCTATCAAGATGATTGACCCAGGATACTGTTTCAGTAAAGTTATTTATAAAATAAAAATGGATACTTTTACTTCTATATCTTACACATTGAAATTATTTTAATGCAAAAGATATACTAAGAATCCTCCTAAAACGTAGCACTATAGCACTGTCCTCCCATTGTGCTGGCGTGATAGCACAGTGGGAAGGGCATTTACCTTCCATGCGGTCAATCTTAAACATGATTTTGTGAAAAACATTTCTTCTTTTGAGCAGATTTATAAAACTTTGGACATTCATGTGACATTAGTTGGCCTTGAAATATGGACAAATGAAGATAAAATAGAAATATATCCAAATATAGAAAATACCTTATTACAGTTTTCAACTTGGCAAGAAATGTCCCTTAAAAAAAGGAAGAATTTTGACCATGTTCTGTTGCTCAGGTATGTAACTATCTTCTCCTATGCCTTAGGCAGGTAAATTTTGAAAAATAAAAAGGACAATGTGAAAACTTTTTAAGCTATCAGTTTCATATAGTATATAGAGATACATATTGTATCTAGCGATGCAAAAAAAATCTCGGAAAAAATTTTAAATAATATTCTCTTATTGATGGTTAATTCTAGAATCACTGTATCACTGTATCACTTTCATCTCATTGTTCATTGATTTACTCTAGTGGGCACAGTAATGTCTCCGTTCATCCCAACCCTGAGATTTTAGCAGCCTCACCTTCCTTGTCTTTCCCAACGGTATTGGAGCCTCTTTCAGGGTCAGGGGAATGAGTAATAAATTACTGCTTTTGGCATATAGAATACATCATGAGTAGCTTGCCAGGCTCTGCTCATGCGGGCAGGATATTCTCGGTAGCTTGATGGGCTCTCCGAAATGCAGCTGACCTCCACTGCCCAACCACTGACACTCTCCAGGCCACTTTCCAGACGCTGAGGACGAGCCTCACACATGAATGAAGTCAACAGAACCCAGATAATGAGGAACTGTGTGACCTTGGATTCTGGACTCAACAGGATGGAAACAGAGATCCTCTGCCTGCTTCCCCCAGTCTCTGGTGACTCAGGGATCACACCCACAAGCCACACCCTACCGGCACCAGATAATCTCCTCATTGGCCATCCTCCAGAACTCATGGATGCTCCTCCCAAACGGGAGTATAAAAGGAGGCCCCCAGAACCATGCCACTAGACTCCGTGCCAAGCTGTGGGGGATGAGAGCCATCCCCACCCCAAGGGACCCAGCCCCGGCAGCCAACCTCCACTGCCCAACCACCGCCATGCTCCAGGCTGCTTTCTGAACTGCTTTGCAGCCACGCGACATATTATAATACACTTCCTTCTTATTTATGCCTCTTGGAGAGTCTGGCAAACTACTGAGAGTATCCCACCCGCATGGGCAGAGCCTGGCAAGCTCCCCATGGTGTATTCAACATGCAAATACAGTAATGACAATAGGTCTCATTCCCCTGACCTTGAAAGAGACTCCAATCATTGGGAAAAGACGAGTAAGAAGAGGCTGCTAAAATCTCAGGGCTGGAAGGAATAGAGCTGTTACTAGCGCCCACTTGAGTAAATTGAAGATCAATGGGATGACAGCGATACAGTGATTCAGTGAGATACATATGCATATGTATATATATATGTATATGCATATATATATATATCTCTATGATTTCTCTCTATGATTTGTTTCCTACTGTCTGAACCCCATCAAATATGTTGTAGTAATTATGAAAAATGGGTAGGGAGTGTCTTATGATGTGTCTTTCATGGCCGCGTGGTCCAGAAATATGTTCACTCATATGTGAAGCTCAACCCAAGCATGTGGAAAGTGGCCTGGAGCGTGGCGGCAGTTGGTAGTGGAGGATAACTGCCAGGGCTGGGTCCCTTGGGGTAGGGAGGGCTCTCACCCACCCCCTCTCGGGCGCCCCAAGTGAAAACAGTGGAGCGGAGGCTGGTGGCATGGTTATGGGGGCCTCATTTTAAGCTCCCTTCTGGGAGAAGCAATCAGAAGAATAGAAACATATATATTCTAATCCTTCTAGGCAGGGTTTTAAATTTTATTAAGTAATTGAAATAGCTTTAGAAACTATTTTATTTATCAGTGTCCAACACAATACCCCTAGACTTTCATGCTCAGTCATTCCAATAATCTACCCAAACCTACATTTCTCGAAGAAATAACCTCATTCTCTGCAAGTTTTTCCTCATTAAAGTTTTCCCATCCAGTGACCTACCTTTGGAGTGCATCTTCTTTTCCATTAAAGAAGACAGATAACTGATCTGATTAATGAATGCTGTTGTTGTTTTAAAATTCCAAAAGTCTTGGAATTATAACAAATAATAAATCATTAATTACTAAAATCACTTTTATCACTCACAGTACTTAATACCCTATTTAGCCTACTAGAAAATAGAAAATTGTAGGCAAAACTGACTTCAACCTGAACTTTCAAATAGTCCTCTTATCCTAAAATTCTAATGGGTGGGGGAACACTTTTGGAGCAACAGCAACTGTTAGTTTGTCTTTAAGACTACTATATAACAGGTCCAAGAAGATAATTCAGTAGCTTACATGGTCCTGCTTAGCAAACATGAGTTCATGAGCTTAATCCAATTATGTTTATAGCCCCGCTGGTTCATATCCCCTTTAAAGGGGTTGGGGATGATGATGGGGAGGGAGAGTGATGGTCCTGATGGTGGTGGGGAATGGACTACAACATAAGAATAATACTACTTTGTTACCTGTAGTATTTGTTTCTCCTAATAACTAGAAACAGAGTCTGAAAATTGTGCTTTCTAAATGTTAACCATCACTCTGAGCCCAAAATTTCCAAAGACTATGTGAAGTTAGGAACAATTTTTAGTAGATTGATGACAGTGAACCTGACCTCCTAAGTAACATCATTTCTTATTTCCATCTCCCGGGTGGCTAATAGTAGATGTCTACAGGAGAATAATTATGACATATTTGTAGAGTCATAATTTTTTGCAGAAAGCTGCAAAAAAATTGAAGGTAGTAAGGTAAACATCACCAGAACATTCGTAGCAAGAAAGATTAAACTGATTAGTGTATTCTCTAGACATGTATTTAAAATACCAGTGAACTAATTTTGAAATGTTCTAAACAGTACATGTCTAAAGCCCTAATCCAAGCCTTTGCTGCCATGAATGTTTCTTAAATTATGAGTAGCAGTTTCTCCAAGTGAAGCAAGAGAAATGCTACTTTAGGTTCAGCTGGGCAATATTTGTTAGACTTCTTATGTGATGGGTTCTTGTATACAGTTACATAAACTTAGAAATGATAAGACTTTTCAAATTTCTGATATTAATTTTAAATGAACATGAACAAAATTTATAATAAAATTGGCTTTTTTTTACTAGTGTTTCATCTCCATAGGTAGTTTTTCCCAAGTATCCAAAGTCTAGGGATACCAGATCTCTAAGATGCTTAGTTACGAACTGAGACATAAATGTATAGAAACATTTAGAGTACAGAAAGATGTGGAATTTGATTCTTGATAAAAAAAATTAAAAACTGAAAGGTATAATATAGTCTAACCACCTTTCTTGCATCTGAATCTTCTTTATTACACTCCAGGTATGAAAATTTATTTGTGGTAGCTCTTTTAAACAGCTTCGAGTGTTTTTCAAAAGCCTATAAAATTTATATATCTTAAATAGCACACTTTTACAATTAATTTTTGGGACAATTCTATTTTTACACAATGTTGAATATTTAATTATAGGTGACAGAATCCTCAACAGATTTCTTCAGTTGATTAAAATTTTTGAATATTTTCTAATGCAACTAATTAATTGTGATACTGAATCTATTTACAATGATGCATTTCCCTCTCTAAACACCTTTTATATTTTTAAAGTAATTTTTACCCCAAAAGTGAAAGTAGGATAAATCAAAGTAAAATGTATTTTTAGGGGATTTTTAGAAAGATGTGCTTTTGTTTGTTTCTTTGTTTTTATAATTTAATAGGAGTGCATAGACATTTCCCCTTTTGTCTCAAATATAGCACAGTGGAAGGATGTTTGCCTTGCACGTGGTTGATCCGGCTGACACGGGTTCAGTTCCTCCGTTCCTCTCAGAGAGCCCGGCAAGCAACTGAGAGTATCTCGCCTGCATGGCAAAGCCTGGCAAGCTACCCTTGACGTATTCAATATGCCAAACACAGTAACAAGTCTCATATTGGAGATGTTACTGGGCCCGCTTGAGCAACTCGATGAACAATGGGAGTACAGTGCTATAGTGCTACACCACACATTTAAATATAGCTTTATAACAAGTAAGATCATCCTAAATTTTAAAACCCTAGGGGAAAAAGCAAACGTTGGTAGCTAAGGCACCAACATTGTATGGATTTACCCATTTTTGTGCTAATTAAATTTGTGTCTTCTATTGAACTTGCATTTGCATCTTGTTTACAGTGGTAAGTGGATCAACACTCATACACAAGGAACTTCTTTTCCAGAGGGTATGTGCCTACCCTATTATTCCTCCAGTGTTGTTAAGGTAGGTCATGACTTATTTGCATTACATAATCAAACATTTAGAATCAAATTTCCACAACTTTCTGTGTCTATTGAAATTGAGCATGAATACCCTTTTTTATGTGTCCCTGCTGATGATAAAATTGCTATATTTCCTTTAATAAATGGAAAAAGAAACATTTTATAGTACTAACAAATGAATAGTGAAAGTAAAGCAGTGAAGTTTAGAGTTTTAAAGAATATAGTATGTAGGAACCAAAAGTAATAATGTTCTTTTACATATTAAAAGTAGCTATGCAATGTATAGAAAATTTAGTGACTGATTTGACATATGAGTATAATTGTCTTTGTACTGAGAAATAAAAAAATTCACTTCAAATCAAGAAACACTTGAATCTATTTTTTAGAAAGTTATTGACATCTATAAACTCTTGTCTTTACTTATTTATCTAACACATTTTCAGGAATTTACTAAGTTAGCAAATACTGTCTATGTAATTTTATAATTCTTGAAAATACCAATTCTAACACTTTCTCTAGTGTCTCTATCTAGTTGTTATTATACTTAAACTAAAATACTAGTACTTCTTAAATTACTACGTGGCATTCTATATTGATTTTATGTGATTATATATTATAGCACATTAGTAATATCATTTTCCTTGAATTAAATCTAATACAAACATTTACCAATTCCCAATTAGAACATTACAACTCATTCAGAACACTTTAAAAACTTCCTATGAGTAGAACAAAAGTCACCAAGTTAGGCTTGCTTTACTTTGACAGTAATTTAATATCTACCTCTACCTGTATTTGAAAGCTAGCTCTTAACATTAAAGGAATAAAAATGACAGGAAGTTCTAAAAAAATTAAAAGTTAACTTAGATTTTATTTATTAAAATAGTTTCCCCTTCAGACTCTTTCTATAATAGTTGCATAGAATTGTAGGCACAATATGGCTATTAATTGAAAAGATAAGCCTGATATATCTTACTTTACCTCTAAATATCTAGTATGTAGGAATCAATCAGATTTGCTTTATAGAATATTAACTTAATAATTTTATCTACTTATATAAAAAATTCTTTATATAAATACAATAATGACTATACTGTCATAAAAATAATTGATAATTTAGATATTGGATTTAGAAATATTCAAAAGATCTTTTGTTTATCTAAATTCATAATAAAGAGAAACTGAAGTGTGTTAGTGTGAGGTAATTGTGTCTATGCCCTCTCAAATTTTTGAAGATATCAATCTTGTTATGAGTTTCTATAGTGTCTCAGCTAAACTGTTGCTATGCTACACAGAGTAGTTTATTCAGAAATTAGAAACAGGTCTCCAAGCCCCCAGTTCAAAGCATATGTATTGTTGTATGTCACCATGGCATTATGATTATTATATATTATTATTATAAAATATATATTCTCTTCTATCAGGATTTTTTACCTGACTTAATTATAGTTGCAAGCAAAATGGCACATCAGCTGGGGCATAATCTTGGGATGCTTCACGATGAATACCCTTGTACCTGCACTTTGGGAAGATGTGTGATGGATCCTGAAGGAAGGTGAGGCCCAAACAGAATATATACAAATATGTTGGGAGTGGCTTTGGTTACAACTGAACATGCAGGATAAAATATTATCATGTGAAATATATTTCCCTAACATGCCCAGGAAGATCTATTACAAAACCAAGCAGGGGACATAGTTTCCCTTGAGAGATGATATTAGTTAGTAATAGTGTGTCTTCTAGTGATAAAAGGAGGAAAATTCTGAAACACCATATGGGCACATTGCAAAATACATGATGTTCAATATTACATAATGTACAATTTTTTAAGGTATCACTATCCTGATATAGTGTATTCAAGACTCCATCTTGTATTATTATGTCAATAATAGTAGCAGAAGAAAATGGAAAGGATATGAAGTTCAGGTGAAAAAAATTACATTTCTAGAATGTATAAGATAATGTGTAGTAAATGGTTAGTTTTAGCAAATATTTATTAGAACTATGTTATATTAATCACTCTGTTAGAAAAAATCGCTTATTTAAAAAATATCTTTTGTTTTGGGGCCACGTCCAGCAAAACTCAGAGGCTACACACTCAGAAAGTACTCCTAGGTGCTCAGGGGAACACATGGGATACTGGGGATTGAACCCTGGTTGGTTCATGCAAGACAAATGCTCTACCCACTGTACTGTCACTTTGGCCCCTTAAGAGAATAATTTTAACATGCTACACTTCTACATTCAGAAACTCAGATTATAATCTTGCAAGGTAATCACACAAGGACAATCAGTCTAAAGAGCGGCATTAAGGATAATTTTCTGGAGAACATATAGTCAAAGCATTTTGTGAAAATACCATTTCTTAGGCCCAGAAAGATAATACAGAAGGTACAGAGGTTGCCTTGCAAGCTGATCTGGTATTTGAGATTTGATTCCCACCACATTATATGGTGCCCTGAGCTTCATCAGATGATTCCTCGTTTGCTGCATCAGGATTGCACCCCAAAACAAAAACACAAAAACAAAGTAATATTTGTTTGCTTAGTTTCAATGAACGTGTTCTATTATAAAGAAAGCTAATTATTTGTCTCCTGTAACAGTAAGGGAAATGTGAGAAAAATCAAATTTTTTAGTTTATAGATTATATATAGTTTTTTCAAGTTCTTCATAAAATTTCATTGCTGTTCTACCATTGTGCATTTATATAAATAATTTTTTAACTCATCCTATATCCTATCTCTAGTGTTCCTGCACTCAAATTTAGTAAATGCAACAGAATCCAGTTGATGAAATATTTAAAGGACTATAAACCAGCATGCATTTTCAACATTCCATTTTCTTCTCAATTAAGTAATTCCCCATATTGTGGAAACAACCAATTGGATGATGGGGAAGAATGTGACTGTGGATCTTTTGAGGTATTTTCAAATGATATTGTCCTTAAATGACAAGTATATGCTCCAGTAGAATGTAGGTGCCAGAGTCTGGCCCCAGGTGAACAGGCTTGAAATAGGGATTCTGCTAGGATTGAGACAAAAAAAACCACAGAGAATAAAGGAAAGGGTCAGGGGCTAGTAGCCTGGTGGGCTGAGAACCCCAACTGTCCTCCCTGCATAGTATTTATTGCTTAGAACCACTAATCACAAAAAGGAGGATAATAACATTCTTTGGTTTAATGACTAATTATCTTAGTCTTCTACACACCCAAGGGCCTTAAATTATAATAATCATCGTCTTTGTGAAGGACTTTCACAGCAGGAAGTTCTTCCAAGGGAGGAAACAGAGAATAGGAACTGGCCCCTCATTTGGCAGCATCCAGGGCAGCATTCTTTCTCTGACTCCATTATTGAAAGGCCCCATAAAGGCCCCATGTCTTCCTGTTTCCTTTATCTATCTAGTTCTCAACATGTAGGCAGATACATAGCCAATCAGTCTGTCATGGAATTTATTATTAAACTTTTAAAAGGTGCTTCTTCCCTACTCATTTGGAAATAGGCTATTGGTAAAGCCTCACGCCAAGACTTTTCTTTAAATTATTTTTTAATTTTTAATTTTTCAAAGCTGTTTATGATTGGATTTCAGGCAAACAATTTTCCAACACCCATCCCTCCTCCAGTGTCCATTCCAAGGTTTTTTAAAAATAAAATCATGAATTATGTATAATCATCTCACTAAAGAACAACAGAATCACATTTGCCTGCCTAGTTCATAGGCTAATTGGCTTCTCTTGTGAGAATGGTCCTCAGTTGTCTGATCTCTAATGCAGAGTAGAACATGTTCTACAAACCCTTCCTAGTCAATCAAGTTTTTTATGGTGCTTTATAGAGGAACATTATTAGAAAGCTCTGTCTAATTTGAGCAGAAATCTTCTAAGTCTTCACATATTTACTGCTGTCCTAGTCTCTGAACTTTGAGAAAAAGATTAACTTTAATAGGTATTTGCCTTGCGTGCGGCTAACGCAGCCGACCCGACTTCAATTCCTCTGTCCCTCTTGGAGAGCCCAGAAAGCTACTGAGAGTATCTCACCCACACAGCAAAGCCTGGAAAGCTACCTGTGATGTATTCGATATGCCAAAAACAGTAACAAGTCTCACAATGGGAACATTACTGGATTTGCTCGAGCAAATGGATGAACAATGGGAGGACAATGCTACAGTGCTATGCTTAATCTCCAACTTCGAAACACAAACTTCCATAAACTCATCTGAAATGTATTTAATGGAGACTACTTCCAAAGTGATCAAGTATACATAAGTCACAAGGGAATGTCATTAAAGCATATGTTCTAATTTGGCAATTCTGGGATAGAACTGAGATCTTAAGACACTATTAAGGTCGTTAGAAGGTTATGCTGATGTTTTTAATCCAAGAACCACATTTATATCATCTGTTTTATAGATACTATACTCTCTGGAGGGAGCCATACTTTCCAGTGTTCAGGGTTTATTCCTTGGCTTTGTATTCAGAGATCACTCCTGCAGGATTGCACTCCATATGGTCAGGGAGTGCAGGGGACCATATGAAGTGCAGGGGACCATATGGAGTGCTAGGGATTAAACTATAGACCACATCCAAAGCAAGCAACCTACCCACTGTATTATCTCTCCAGTGCCAAGACACTGTACATTTGAAAATAGGTCTAATAGGATCGTGATTAAGAGACTCCATTCATGACAGCAGGAACAATGACATGTCCAGAAGTTACAAAATCTAGTCCTCAAATATCTTAAATGTAAAAAAACTATTAACTTTTCAAATTGATGCCTTTACCAATGTACATTGTTTGAAATTATTTTGCAGTTTTATTTGAACACATGAAATATATCTTCATTATGTACCAGAATGCAGATAATTTTTACTTTATAAAAATTTACTTTATATGTGTCATAGCCAAGAATGATTCATTTGTACTTGCTTTTGAAATGCAATATTAAATTACACAGAAGCACAGCTAATTTACTCTTCAAATAGGAGATAAACTGTAAATCAGTTTCTGATCTTTAATTTTTTATTATTTTCAGGAATGCACTAATCCGTGCTGTGATGCACATAAATGTATGTTGACACCAGGATCTGCTTGCGCAGAAGGAGAATGCTGTGAATTTTGTCAGGTGAGATCTTCTGCTAACAAAAATTTTCCTGCTCTAAGTATATGAAGGGTAGGTGGGATCAGATATTTTTCTGAATGCTTCTGTTCAGGATTAATTTTTTGTTTGATTCAATTTCTTTGTCTTCATCAGATGAAAAAGGCAGGTTCCATATGTAGACCAAAGAAAGATGAATGTGATTTTCCTGAAATGTGTACTGGCCATTATTCTGGTTGTCCTAAGGACCGATTCCAACTAAATGGAGTTTCTTGCAATAATGAAAAAGGCTACTGCTTCATGGGAAAATGTCCCACCAGAGATGATCAGTGTCTGGAATTGTTTAGTGATGGTGAGAATTGATTTCAGTGAATGATCATAAAGAGAGTACCATTATTTCTCTGTTCCCTTTTGTAAGAATTTGAGAGGAAATTGGAACTAATATTATTTGGGTCACACCTCAATTATTGATAGATTAACTTAGTTGTGGGGTAAGGAATGTTCATCACTTGTTTATATCCATATTGTTTCCTAGAGTAGTTGTTGGATCATTTTAAGATGTTATTATTCCCATTCCACTTTACTACTACATGATACGCTAATTTTAATTATATTAGAAAAATAAGATATTGTATGGTTCATGCTTTTATTGTTTTACTCTGGTCATACCATATTGGATTCCAGGAGCAAAAGACGGTCCTGACAGCTGTTATGAGCTAAATGAAAAAGGAAATGTATTTGGATATTGCAAAAACAAGGAAAGTGGCTTAATTCCCTGTGAAAAGAAGTAAGTATTTTATAAAGAAAAATAATATCTTCTAGGAGTATTTTACAAAAGAAGAATATTACTTGTTCTGACTAATGATTTTTTTTTCTCTTTAGTTTTTTGGGTCACACTCAACAATGCTCAGGGATTACTTCTGGTTCTGTACTCAGAAATTATTCCTGGCGATGTTCAGGGGAACATATGGGATGCAGCCAATTGAACCCACGCTGAGAATTTTTCAAACAGAGGTTATTGGGAAGTGGGGATGGGCAGTAAAAGAGCAACATTCTCCATAGAGCTATCTTCAATATATATTGTACTTATTAACCAAACATTATGAGATTCAAGGATATGATTCTTGATTTAGCCACATTAAAACATCTTTGAATCCTATCATTGTTTCCAAAAATGGGAAGATTCAAGGATGTCAGGAATGGAGGAGAAAATAACACAAAAGAATAACACAGCAAATAGTAATAGAGAAAATTACTAGAAATGAGGCTAGAAGAAGAAGGAACAGAAACTATGAAAAGAAAGTAGAAGCTCAATTTGGAAAACAGAGTAGGAGCTGAGAATAAAGACTGGGGTGCCATCAGGGTGCACTTGTGCATAGTGCATACTCAGGTTTCTAGTATGACTCCCAGCACCTTATGGCCATCTAGAACCACCGGGAATTGCTCTGATGGCCCCTAATGCTGACCCTCCTGCAGTGATACATAAAACCCTCCAGTGAAGTTGACTGAGTATCACTGGGAGTTTTCTGGACAAACTTCTGAGCACTGCTTGGGAATCCTTCACCCTAAAAGAGAAGACTTGAAAGTTCTTTTGAATTTTATGAAGATGAGCTAAGCAATACTTCTCTTACTGACATTCTGAGGGCTTTTCGTGTGTTCAATAGAATTTTGACAGAAACAAGTTTCAGCTCTGCTACTAAACATTCTAGGTGAAAATGGGGCCAAGACTTGACTTCTCTTGCTTTTAATTGCCCTCTGTGAGGGGCCCTGCCAGACCAATCCTCCGGCCCGTGGAGGTGGCCCTAGGGTCCGTGGGTGCAAGGAGGGACCAACAGAATGAACAGAAAGCACAAGAGACAGAGTGCAGTTTAGAAACAGAGAGAAAAAGGGACAGGACAGAGCAGACAGGACATCAGACAGGATAGGACAGGGCAGACTTTATTCAGGGCAGCAGGGGCTTTATATACCTATCAGTACAAAGCATAAGACAGTTACACAAAAAGTCATGTCCATGTATGGTTAGGAAAGTTACAAAGTCTATATGTTTCACATACCAGGCATGAGTTAGTTACAAAAAGGGTCATGTCCATATATGATTTACAAAGTTTATACGTTTCACATACCAGGCACAAGGTAGTTACACAAAGGGTCATGTCCATATATGATTTACAAAGCTTATACGTTTCACATACCAGGTTAATCACTGTCAGTTACTTCTTGTTATTACTGACAGCCATGACAGATGTTTTCTCAAGATAATCATACATAGCCCAGGCTTTGACCCCCTGCCGCGGGTCACGTAGGTCAAGATGACCATACATAGCACAGGCACATAGGCCCTTGGTCAGTTAAACAGCCAGCTTCCCACAGCACCTCTAATCTGTAAACTGTGTTTTTATAGTAGTAGTAACTTCATAAGCTTATTGTGGGAATCAACAGATGACAATCTTCCTTTATAATGCATAAAGAAATCTTAGTGTCCATAATAAAGTTATGCCAGTGAAGATAATTGATAAGATATTGATATTATCCTGCAAATGAGATAATATTGACTCATGATAATCACAGAGATAGTTAAACAATCATTGCATCCTTATCTACCCTTCTCAGGCTCAGGAGAGGATGCTTTTCTACTTGCTTACTCTGCTCCTTCTGGTCTCTGCACAGCCTGCTGGTGAGACAGCTCTACAAATAAGTAAAAAAACAAGTGACAAGACCATAGCCAGATTAGTCTCTAAAATTCTTCCTTGAAGTATTCTTCTTTTCCTTTAGAAATATCAAATGTGGAAAGATATTCTGCACTGGAGGGCACCATCCATCTAGTCTTGGAGAAGAAAAGATCTACTATCTGAAGAACTTTCAAAAACAAAATACAACCACTGAATGCAGAACCTTCTTTTTATACCACAATTCTAGAGATTTAGGCTTAGTTGCTCCAGGAACAAAGTGTGGAAATGAAAAGGTAAAGATAAAATCCCTTTGTTTAATTATAATTCTGAATTTAGCCACATTAAAACGTCTTTGAATCCTATAATTGTTCCAAAGGCCTGTATATGAGAAAGTAGACAATAATTGCCAACTGGATTTAATTAGAATAACAATGACACTATAATAAATGTTAACTTTGTCTAATCTTTGTTATATAAAATATTAAATTTGTTTAATTAACAACTCATGGAAGACATTTAATTAAATTATAGGCATAATTTTAATTTGACTATAAGTTAGCCATAATTTGTCATAAATTCTTCTTCATTAGTGTATATTTGTTGAGCACATTTTATATGTTGTCAGTAGCACTGTAGCACTGTCCTCCCATTGTTCATAGAGTTGCTCGAGCAGGCCCAGTAATGTCTCCATTGTGAGACTTGTTGCTACTGTGTTTGATATATTGAATACATCATGGATAGCTTGCCAGGCCTTGCCGTGCGGGCGAAATACTCTTCAGTAGTTGCCGGGCTCTCTGAGAGGGGAGAGGAATCTAACCTGGCTCGGCCTTGGGGCTGGAGTGATAGCACAGCTGTCAGTAATTGCACAGGGCATAAATTATATAAATAAAAATATACTTAAACATATCAGAGCTTAAGTTATAGAGTAAATATATTATTTAATATGATTATATTCTTTAATTTTACTAAATCATTTATCTAATAATGAAATATGCACTAGAAGTGTTTTTATCATTATATGATTAATAATTTAAAATTGTTATCTTTTGAGTTAACACAGGTTTACAACACAGTATATTATGAAGCATAAGGTGCACATCTTTTTGAATATACATTATAACACCTTCCAACAACTTAAGTATATTTAACAATTCACCCTAGTTCATTGGACCACCTCTAACTTCTGTACTCCATGAATATTTCTGCACAAGTAACCATAATTGTGGTTAAAATTTCAAGTATTTGGTTGATCTGGGCTTTGTTGGTTTCTATACTTTGTTTCTTTCTAACCCTATATGTGAGTGAAATCATCCAATATTTGTCTTTCTTCAGCTTATTTATATCACTTAGCATAAATCACTCCAGTTCCACCAATGATTTTGCAAATAACAACCAGATTTAAACTGAACACATATACTATGTTTTCTTTACTCATTTGTTAGTGGGTGATTATTTTACTTAGCAAAATAGTACAATTGTTATAAAAAAATCACACAATCATATATATATATATTTACAGGAAAACATTAATTTATTAACCAAATAAAATTTAACTATTCATCCATCTATGAGAACTTAGGCTATTTTATTAATTATAAATAGAGCTAAAAATGAAAAGTTAGATATGTTTATTTGCATTTATATTTTATATTATTTGGTTATGTGAAAAGAATTCTGAGTCCTATCATAGTCTTATTTTTAATATTTTGAGAAAGCTCCATATTGTTTCCCATATAGGTCACCCCAGTTTTTCACCCAAAGAATATGAGCCTTCTTTTTTCTCCACAATACTTCTAATAATTTTGCTTCTGATTTTTTTAATCTATGTTATTCTCAAAGATATGGAAAATATATATTATTGTAGACTTGACTTGAAATTTCCTAAAAATGAGTAATAATAATGATTTTACATATGTGTGTTGGCTATCTTCTTTGAAGAAATATATATTCCTCTTTTGCTTATTTTTTCATCTTTTTAAAAAATTGGGTGAGTTTTATAAATTCTTTTTATATTTTAAATATTATTTCTTTGTCAAATATATTCAGGATCGTCTATTTAGAAAGATATACTTTTGTTTTAGTGACAGCTTCTTTCACTATGAATATCCTTTTAATTCGGTTAAGTTCTTTTATTTTTTCCCTTTTTCTCCAACTCTTGCCCAAGACACCACTGAAATCAATATTGTAGAATGAATTGTCTATATTTTATTCTATATATTTTATAGTTTTATGTCTTATATGCAAATAAAACTCACATTTTATTCACATTTTAAATCCCTATTTATTTAATTCAAATGTATGAGATGAGATTGTAGTCCAGTTTCATTCTTTTGCATGTAGCTATTCGGTTTCCTACACCCAACCTACTCTATACACTAGCCTACACACACCATGTTTTGGAGAGACTTTTTTATCTCGATTTTATTTTCTTGGCTATTTTGACAAAAATTAATAGCCCACATGTCAATTTACTTCTATGTTATTTTTTCTATTTTTTCATTGATTCCTGTATTTAATTTAATACAATCTCATATTGTTCTAATTACTAGAGCATTACAACTTAGTTTGTATTGCACTTAGTTTTCATTGTAACTTAGTGGAAGGATAATACTTCCATTCTTTTACTCCGAATTGTTTTTTCTCTTTTAAAGTTTTATGATTATACACATGTTTCATTAATGTCTCTTTTGTTTTCTTAAAAAAATCTTTTGAGTGTGTGGCTTGATTGTATATTTAAGATATTTTTGTTTTCTAGTGTATGCCTAAATTTTATACTAACTTCCTTATTAGTGGGCTGGAGCAATAGCACAGTGGTAGGGCAGTTGCCTTGCATGCAGACAGCCCAGCCGAGCCGGGTTCAATTCCTCCACCCCTCTCGGAGAGCCCACCAAGCTGCCAATAGTATCTTGCCCGCATGACAAAGCCTGGCAAGCCTGGCAAGCTACCCGTGATGTATTCAATATATCAAACACAGTAACAAGTCTCAAAATAAAGACCTTATTGGGCCCATTCAAGCAAATCGATGAACAATGGGAGGACAGTGCTACAGTGCTTATTAGTACTGCCTAATTATATTCCATAGTTTCTGGTAAATTCTTGTCTTTATGTATCTAATTTTGTTTCCAATTTTCTTATTATTCTTTGATTTTCTTGCTGACTTAATGGTTATTTCATATCATGTTACTTAGTCTCCATATGATTAAGATTTTTTTCAATTTTATTTTATGGTTGATATCTAGTTTCACTATATCTTTTATTATTAGAAAAGATACTTTACATCATTTCATTCTTTATGAACATAGTGACACAGGTTTTGCATTCCGACCCATGTTCTACAATCAAAAAAGTACCATGTATAATAGAGAACAGTATGCACTTGCAATTTTGAGTTTTAGCATAGTAAATAGCTAGTGTAATGTGTTGTAGTGTAATGACATTTTTATCTTAATATATATTTTTTCTGATATATGGCTGTCTCTACTAGTTAAGCCAGAATTTGCATGAAATCTATGCTTATCTATGGACAACAAATGGGTATCTTGGGTAAAGCAAAAAGTTTGCTTTTACTAATCTATATTGCCTACAACTCTGTGACATTTTAATGATTAGTTCAGGCCACTGCATTTAGGAATTGATATTTAGGAAATTTACTATAAAATTATTATTAGAATTTCATTTCAGAGTTATTTCTTCTTAAGTAGTTTTGCAGTTTACCTAAATTTTGTTGCTATTCTATTCACTTGTATTTGATAAATACTTTTCATATACTGTTTAGGCTCATTTTTTAAAATTTTATGTCTTCTAAGTATTTTTACTTTGAGGTTGCCATGAGTTAATAGTAACTGGATAAAAATAAGAGCTAATTTAGAGAATTGAAAGATGACAGGGTGCAAAGCATCTAAATAGACTAGCAGAGAAAAAAATAAAGAAAATCAGAGAGATTAAGAGATTTATATAAGATTTAGAAGGAATGTTAGTACCATTGGGTCTTTTAGGACCAGAAATTATATTTGAATAAAAAATTACTTAGAACTTTCTCAAAGTGGGAATAAAAAACAAGTATCTAGATTCAGTATGTTAAAAACTAGAATTCTAAACTAAGTAAACTCAAATAGCTGCATATCTAGACAGATTATAAGTATATAGTTATAATTGTAAAAATCATAATGGTAAGTGAAAGAGGAATGTTGTAGATAGTTTAAAAGAGGCACATGTCTGCTTTGCAAATGGAGACCCCAACTTTGGGTATTGGCACTGCATGGATCCCTGAGCAAAACCATTTGGAGACCTTGTGTCCTCCAAGAACCACTGGACACTAGGAGCAACACATTAATGGATCCAAGAACCTAATTATAAGGCTTTTGTTTCCTAAGTGAGTACCACAGTAAGGGCTCTGAGGCCCCCACAAAACACTGGGAAGCCCTCTTTAATTAAAGTCAAAGATAAAGAAATTTAAAAGTATGGAGAGAAAAACAAAGATGCATATATTTGACACATCATTTGACTATAAGAATATTGTAGAAAAGGAACCTTATATGACTGAAGGGAATGCCATGTCAAAATGCTGAATGAAAACCACTTTCAACCGAAATGCTCTACTCAGCTAAATTATTACTTAAGGATGCAGGAATGAAAAAGAGCTTTGTACACATAATAGCTGGGTGAATTTTTCTTCACTAAATCACCTTTGCAAGAAATATTAAAAGTATTTCTATAAAATAAAAAGATACACTACTTGAAATTAACAATGCACCAAAAGCATAAAATGTGGGGAGAGACTGGTATCTCTGAGATGCTCCAGATATATTTGCTTTCAACATCTGTTACCTGAATGAAACTGAAGAATATCATGTTGAATAAAGTGAGGCAGAAGAAGAGGGAGCCAACAAATAATGATCTCTCTCATACATGGAGTATAACCAAAAAATAGTAGTGAGTAACAATTACCCAAGACAACAGAAACTGAAAATGAACCTTCAGTAGAATGCAGACCATAGGGGAGCAAATTTGGGTAACAGGATGACAGAAAGAGGACACTGAGACAATGGAGGAGGGATGTGGTCACACCACTGAACGGCATAGAGCTGGAATGTGTTGAGCATTGAACATGATCAATTGTCAGTATTGTAAAACACAGTGCCTAAATGTTTTTAAAGTACCTGAATCATAGAAACATACAGAAGTGAAGCATGAAAGGGAAAATTAACACTGATGATGGGATTGGTGGTGGAACTTTGTATACCTGAAATTCAGTCAGAAATAACATTGTAAATCACTGTCTTAAAAATAAATAAATACTTTAAAAAATGTTAAGTGGACCATAGTAAACTAGAATGTAAGAATGCAAGTAAAATAGCAATATTCTCATTATAAAAGTTTATAAAATGTAAGAAAAAGTTAAAGAAGAATAAACATAAGTGATATTAACTGATATTAATAAAATACCCAACCAGCAGTCATGAAAAACAAGTATTAATATTTATCAAAAGCAAATGAAAATATAATGTAAATAACTGAAGAAACTGTTATAATTGAAGATTCTATGATATATTAACATTTAAAAGTAAGCATAAACAGATATTTTTAATAATTTGTATACAACAAAGCTTGTTTCAACAATATTTTTGAAATATATGCACTAGATATAGAGAATTTATTCTGCCATGAAAAACCATATGCTATTTTTCATAATTTAAATTATTGATACATTTCACTTTAACTTATTTCTAGGTATGCAACAATGGTGAATGTGTGAACATGGAAAAATTCTACAATTTAGTCAATTGCTCTTCTCAGTGCCATGATAATGCTGTAAGATTTAATTACTCTTTCATACATGTCATTTTTTGAATAGAACTTTAATCATGAGTCCAATTACATGCATATTGAATTTCAAACTTTGATATACGACTAATAAAGTTGATCTGTGTGTGATATATGCATATGACCACAGTGAAAATACAAATTTTATTATCAGATAGGTAATTTATAAACCCAATGATATTATACAGATTAAGGTTTAACTTAAAGTTTAAAAATGTATTGATTGTATCATTATTTATAATTAAAATATAAATATTAGCCTAAAAGTTTTAAATATGATTTTTTATTTCACTCAGTGAAAATTTCCATACTAGCAATTTCTAGCAGCTTACATTTTCAGATAACATCCCTCCTAAGATTGATTGATTAGTAGCACATATAGATTTATGTGTGTGTGTTCTTTCAAGTTTCTTACATATTTACACATTATAAATGCTTCATTATAACCTTAAAGTGTTAGCACTTTTCTTGAGACTATTTTAATAGATTCAGATCTAAGTATACTAATGTTTTGTGAGTGGAAAAGTTAATATTTAAGTACAGAAAAATGAACAAGTCTCTGTGTAAATCTTTAACCACTGTAATGGATTGTAATGTAAACTTTATGCCATAACTTTTTAGCCCTATATCAATATTGTTTCACTGTTACTAAATGAAGTTAGAGTCTGTTCTTAGGCTATTAAAGTTACAATTCTAATAGAGACTTTCATTTAATAATAGTGGTACCTTTGGAAAATTAAGTTAACTTCATCTAGCTTTGAATTTTTGTCAAAAATTATATGATTGTCATAATAATTCACTTATTCAAAAAACATATTTTCTTTTTATATTTGCTATTTTTGCCAATGTTTATTTTTGGTATGCTGTGCACTTAATTTACCAATAACTAATTTAATTGACTTACCAAGAAAAAGTGGGCTGGAGCGATAGCACAGTGGGTAGGGCATTTGCCTTGCAAGCGGCGGACCCTGCCAACCCAGGTTCATTTCATCTGCCCCTCTCGGAGAGCCCGGCAAGCTACCGATAGTACTTCACCTGCACAGCAAAACCTGGCAAGCTACCTGTGACATATTCAATATGCCAAACACAGTAACAACAAGTCTCACAATGGAGACGTTATTGGGCCTACTTGAGCAAATTGATGAACAACAGGAAGACAGTGCTACAGTGCTACCAAGAAAAAGTATGCATATGGTTTGAACTAGAACTAACACTAATCTAAATATGGTACACACCACAGCTTATGTTGGTTTGTTATTCTATCACTGTCCTGTGTATCACTGTCCTCACTGTAATTTTATATACAATAACATTACTGACTCTTCTTTCAGGAGGATGACAATACACCAGAGTGCCAGTGTGAGGAGGAACAGGCATCTTGGGAAGAAACTTTTAGTGCTTCCAGTGAGTATCATAAAATGTAATATTTTGAATACAGAAATAGACTGGCTAGTAAACATTTTGATTTTTTTTATTAGTGAAACACCATGAGGTACAGTTATAGACTTAAAAATTTTTGTGCTTGGGTTTCAGTTATACAATGATCAAGAATCCATCCCTCCACCAGTGCCCATCCTCCACCACCATGGGTCCCAGCATCCCTCCCACCCCCCGTCCCCCCATCCTACCCTGCCTCTGTGGCAGGGCATTCCCCCTTGTTCTCTCTCTCTTCTTTTGGGTCCTGTGTTTTGCAAGAGAGGCATCGAGTGGCAATCATGTTTAGTCTACACAGAAAGATTGCATTCATCTGGGGAACATAAAGCAACAAAATGGGAGAATAACACCCAGGAGTGGCTGAGATTAGTACCAGGAATTTTGCTCTGTGACTTAGAGGGCAGCCACACATGCTAGGGGATAAGGAAGCTCAGATAGAGAAGAGAGCATCAAATAAAGGGTGTTGTGAGGATCCTCCCAGGGTGGGTGAATCATAATTTTGAATTTTAATTTTCCAAATTTACTACAAATATATCATGTGCTATACCCTTGTTTTGCTATTACTTTCTATGTTTCAATAACTAAATTTGAATTTATTGTAATTACTTTTTAGAACTAATATATCTTTTATAGTTAAAATTAGAATAAATATTTTTAGAATTACAGAAGGCTTCTTCTTAATAAGTTAACATCTTATAATCAATGGGAAAATTCCTTCTGTTTTGGGTCACCTTAAGCATAGTATAATCATAAGTGCAGTGCCAGTTTCTGTGATGATGGATGATTTTGTACTGGAAGGGGAAAGGAATGTAATAGCTTAGTTTTGTACTTGGAAGGGAGAAAAATTTAATAGCTCAGCTATATATCAATATTTTAATATAGTCCTAAAGTTGATGTTCTGGCTGAAGCTCATGTTTTTAAATTTACAGATACCTCTATTTTGATTGTTGTGCTTTTCCTGGTTTTAATTGGTGTTGGAGGTACTACATTTTTAATTCGCCACCAAAAACTGAAGCAAGTTCAGAGGTAGGTCTTACTTTCTTTGTGCTACAGGTGGCCATCTATGAGATTATAGAAATAAAAATCACTAGCAATATACGACTTGCCATAGAGAATAAACCTCTTTCTAGAGACCAGGTAAGAGTAGTAGTAGTAAATCAAGCTTTTATATGCTCTGCTTCCATTTAAATACTTATACAAATAGGTTATACAAACATTTTTGCACATTAGGCTTGCAAGATTGTGCACGTGCATGTGCTCCTGTGGGGGGGGGGGAGGGCACACACACTATTTTTGTTCCTCTATCAGATTTGTTTTGTAAGATAAAAATCAGAATTTGAAAATATTTCTTATATGCTTTAATATTAAACATAAACTTATCATAGACTTTTGTCAAAACACATTTTTTAATAGCCCACCTAGAGAAACTCTGGGAGTGGAGAATAAAGCATATTTTGGTGATGAACCACAGGTAAGAAGTGAGCCAATCTTACTGGATATCCATCATCTCCAAGTAAGAAGTTTTCATTTCCAATAGTTAAATAATAGTCAAGAAATTATTTCAAAGAATACAATTGTTTAAATAAAAACTAATTTGTATGGTATTGAAAGAACTACAGGTATAAATCATACTTCAATCCACTAAACCAAGCCTCAATTGAGTTCAAAGAACTTGGGTCCAGACAAAGTATATTCTAAAAATTGTATTAGAAATAGAAAAAGATGAGGAAAATCCCCAAGTTGAATATCAGATAACAAATCAAAAGGAAACCATGAGACAAGGAGAAATAAAAAAGGAGATTAACAGTGAAGGAAAGAAATCAAGGTGGAAGAAGAGAATAGGAAGTATGGGTGAAGAGGCATCAGGGCTTCAATTATGCCATTGATATGAGTGCGTGGTATAACGTATTTCTAAAACACTGACTCAGCAAAACTGAGAACATGAGATCTAAGCTGTTACCACTGAAGCTTTATGATATGCCTGTCAAGTCGACAGGGGGAAATGGGGTGAAGATTGAGGTAGGGAGGGAATATGGGGATACTGATGGTGCAATTAGTGTTGAAATATTATATGCCTAAAACTCAACTATCAATAACTTTGTAAATCACAGTTCTTTAATACAAATTTTCAAAGGGGAATTAGAAAGTATTTTAAAATATACCAAAATATTTAAAAAATGACAAGATCACTACTTGACTAAAATGTAGCTCTGCGCTGTAGCAATGTGATACTGTTCATTGATTTGCTCCAGCAGGCACCAGTAAAATCTGCGTTGTGAGACTTGTTACTGTTTTTGGCATATTGAATACGTCAAGGGGAGCTTGCCATGCTCTGCTATGCGGGTAGAATACTCTTGGTAGCTTGCTGGAATCTCTGAGAGGGGCAGAGGAATCAAACCTGGGTCAGCTGGGTGCAAGGCAAATGTCCTACCCACTGTGCTATCACTCACCCCATTAAAATTTCTCTGATCAAGGCCCTCGAGCAGGCCCAGTAACATCTCCATTGTGAGACTTGTTGTTACTGTGTTTGGCATATGGAATACGTCATGGGTAGCTTGCCAGGCTCTGCCGTGCAGGTGAGATACTCTTGGTAACTTGCTGGGCTCTCAGAGAGAGGCAGAGGAATTGAACCCAGCTCGGCCTGGCCGGCTGCAGGCAAGGCAAACTCCTAGTGCTGTGCTTTAAAAAAAAAAAAAAAAAGAAAGAAAGAAACAAACTAGAACCATAAAAGTAAAACATGCCTAGTATCAATCAAACCAGAAAGAAAAATAAATGTCAGATTGGTCAAAAATGAATTAGAGGGGCTGGAGTGATAGCACAGTGGGTAGGGCATTTGCCTTGTACGCAGCCAGCCTGGGTTCAATTCTCAGCATCCCATATGGTCCCCTGAGCACCGCTAGGAGTAATTCCTGAGTGCAGAGCCAGGAATAACCTCTGTGCATTGCCAGGTGAGACCCAAAAAGAAAAAAAAGAAAGAATTAGAAAATAATAAAACAAAATAAGTAAAAGCAAAAGATGATTTTTTAGATCTATAGCTATCCCTCCCAAGAGATTTTCTTGATTGAAAGACATATTTCCTTTCTCCTTTCCTCCCTTGTTTCTTTTTCTTCCTTCCTTCCTTCTCCTTCCTTCCTTCCTTCCTTCCTTCCTTCATTTTGGGGCAATACCCAGAAGTATTCAGGGGCTTATCCCTTGCTCTGTGTTCAGGGGTCACTCTCATCAGTTCTCAGGGGAACTTAGTCATGGAATGCAAGGCAAGCATTTTGGCCATTGTACTACCTGTCTAACCCCACAGAGATTATCAATATAATTAAGCATAAAAGTGATACCATACACACTACACACTTAGAAATAATGTGAAAATATATAAAACTATCTTTTTATATTTGTTAATATAATGAAATACAATACTATCTTTTACATTTTTTATTTTTAAACAAATTTTAGTGATTTACCAATGTTCCTATATAATACAAATTTGGAGAAGTACATTTTTACATGTGTATAAATCTAAGTACATTCCACCAAAGTTCTTTCTTACCCTTTATTTAAACAGTGTGACTTACAAAGTTGTTCACGGTACAATTGTCTTAAGTATTTTATATTCCAACACCAGCCTCACCACCAATGCACCCTTACCTCCACCAATGTCCCTCATTTCCCACCCACACAAAAACCTGCTGCCTTGGGAGGCACTAATTAATTTACTATATATTGCTTATTGCAACATATATCTCATAATGGTGTTGGTAAAGTTGTGACTGAGGATTTACTGAGCTATGGGGTATGAATTGTGCCTTCTGTATTTTGTTTTCACTCATCACTTAGCCAGTTTATACTGAATTTTATCACCTAATTTTCTTGTTTCTTCTGGGCTGTTTTCAGTTCTGTGAAGTTTGGGAATATTATAAGGCCACATATGTGGCTGCATGCTTCAGGGACTTTAGACCTAGAATAATGAACTTTAGGTAACTCTCAGCCCTCTCAGAGTTCAGCCCTGAAACTGAACTGTTTTTCTGGTAGTGGTAGGAGCCAAATGTAGGTAGATGCAACGCTGAACCTTTGGCAGGGCAGGGAAAGTTCTAATGTCATTACACTAAAAAAATGCTTTCATAAAACCATTTCTCCAAGTATCCTTTTACTTTTCCTCTGGTAAAAACCTTTATTTTTTAACAGAGTATGAGTTATTTTGTTGCATTTGATTTGTTTGTTTACGTTACACACATAGTGAAACCATCTTTCACTTTCTGATTTATTTTGCTTAGCATAGTTACCTCAAGTTCTGTACCTCTTCCCCCAAATGGCATGGTTTTACTCTTTTTATAATGTATATAAACCACAGATTCTTTATTCTGTCATTTTTTGAGTGTTTACATTGCTTCATTGTTTTGGCTAATGTTAATAATGATGCTGTGATTATAGGGGTACCACTCATAATACAGAGAGAAATTCCCACTCTTGTCTTATTTACAGTTGCTTTATTGATGAAGTCTTAGACTCCTCTAAGATAAGAAAAGCACCTACGATATAATTTTCCATAGCACAGCGGTAGGGTGTTCGCCTTACAAGCAGCCAACATGGCCAACCCGAGTTCAATTCCTCCGCCCCTCTCGGAGAGCCCGGCAAGCTACCGAGAGTATTCGATATGCCAAACACAGTAACAACAAAATCTCCAATGGAGACGTTACTGGGCCCACTCGAGAAAATCGACGATCAACGGGAGGGCCTTTACCTTACCTTACCTTTAGTACTTTTATATTTATTAATATTGCATAAGTTGTTAGAATTTTATTTTGAGAGCTCAGAAAGCTGTAATTCTTGCTAGAAACTAATAATAAATTAATAGTATCTCTTTTCACTAGCAAATAAGTGCCGAGTCTGTGGAGACACCTTCAACAAGTTCTTCAAGTCCTCACTACATCACACTGGTATGATCCCTGTATCTGTCCTCACTCTTGGATGTTCTATTGTGTTCTGTTTCAATGTTTTTTTTAATATCCCCTAATTAATAACTGTTTATTTTGAAATGTCTGATGATGTTTTATAGCTTTTCCAACTGAAGCGAAAATAAGACATTTCCTACTTTGTGCAAGTGCACGATCAATTGAGGTTATTAAAAATTCTAATATTGAATTCATTATAAATTCATGTGAGTTATCTTTGATTATTATAGTAATTTATTCATATGTTACATATTATAATTACTGAATTTATTGGCTCCATTAGATGCTTCCCCTGAAATGAATGTTTCACTCACCCACCTTTAATCACAGTCCTGGTTCTCCTGGTTCAGATTCTAAATATGGCTTCCAAAAGTTTGGCGTTATCTGAAGGCTTTCCACTAGGAAACCGAGGAAAAGTAAACAGTGCAATCCTTCTTATTCAGAACCAGGTGCCCAAAGCACCAAGAATCTAAGCTAAATACATGTCTAAAACAGCAATTCTCTTGTTGCTTTTATTACTAATAGCTAAAGAAAGTGATGTAATTAAAGAAATATTTATTCTGTGGTTACAAGAATACTCCTATTTCAAAAGGGTCTCCAGAAAGTACACTTCCCAGAGAGATAAACATATCTTACTAAATCAGTGCTATAATTTTTGTGGGTTTTACTGGCATTTTAGAAGAGATTACTTGAGTGAAAGCTCTAACACTTGAAAAATGTTTGTAATTTTGTTAGCAATTACATTGTTATAGAGAGTCACAAAATAGTTTACAAGCAAAAATGCTTTCAGATACTTCATTTAACTAGATCTATACCCATCCTCTTTAACCCATAGTAAGTTACAAACTTAGATTTGTAAGGGATCAATAAGAGATGGTTTATGTGAGCAAATGTATATGTGCTCATGGGGTTTGTGTGTCATTGTGTGTGTTTGTAGTGCAGATCTAGATACAACACAATTTATTTGTTACAGAAACCTGGAAGTAAAGATCCAAGTGCAATGGCAGATCCCGATCAAGGTGGTAGAGTTGTAAGTTCCCTTGAAACTTCCCTTAAATGTTTCAAATATTAGTTTTCTTTTGTTTACATTAGTAACTCATTGAGATATTCTCTATTTTAAGGAATAGGATACAACATTTGAAATAGACATCACTGATAAACTGAAAATTCTAATGAATAATCAGCAGAGCATTAGTTCAAGAGTTTTCCATTCGAACAAATAAACAAGCAAAGTTAGAGCCAGAGTTTTCATGCATTTTCAAAATTAAAAAAAATTTTCTCACTTTTATTAAGAATTATTTCATTAATGAAATAATTTATTTAAACACGAGAACTTATAAAGTTATGAGCTTTCAGTGTTCCAGTACCAATCCCACCAGTAGAGTGACTTTCCCTCTACCATTGTTCCCATTTTCCCAACCAACCCCCAAGCCTGTCCCCTAAATGGACTCACAATATTTTATATTGCTTGTTAAAACTAAATACTTGATAGAATTCTCAAAAATAATTCATTAAAAGAAAATTTGTGAAAATTGTTACATCTCACTATGGGGTTGTCAAAAATCCTTGTCTAAGAATTTAATTTGTTGGTTGCTAGTTGAGTCTTTTTGTTTATCGAGCTTAGTTAGCTTCTACATTACTTTGCCATCAAATTTGGTGTGCTCCAATTGGAGTTTCAGTACCATGGAACTAGGAGATGTACAGAAACTTCAGAATCTGCAAAATTAAGCCAATGCGTTGATATGGGTGCGGAGGGAGGTGGGAGTGCGCATGGCTGATGGGGCTCTGGAAGTATGGGGTGGGGGGTAGAATGCCCATGTTCATTTCAAGAAGGCCCCAGAGTTCTCAGCCTACACAGCAGCATATCTGGAACTTTTGCAGTTTGGTGTCTCTGAAGAGGTTATGGTGATGGTGGAGTTGGGCTGTTGACATGGAAGCAGTAGTGGGGTGTGGGTGCAACAGCCAGGGGTTAATAGGGCAGGGACTAGGCACACTCTCATACCAAAGGCATGATTCAAACTTTTCCTGACCTGAAAAAACATCCTTGGGTTCTCACAAAATTTTAAGGTATTTGGAATTATTGTCTATTAGAAAATTCATCTAAAAATCATAATATTTGGGGGACAAACTCAAAAATTTACTCTAATGGATGACGTATCCATTACGAAGTTATTAAAATGTACTAGATTAGTTGAATCTTTATTCCACGCAAATATTTTCATGTTGAGTATTTTCATAGTTGAAATGGAGAAGGAAGGATATATCAAATGGCTCCTTCACTTGAGTCATGAATCTGTTTCACACTGAAGAGTAGAGACAATCCTTAGTGCAAACAAACTGCTGTCACCTAATGGAAAACAAAATTGCTTTCTTTCTTATGTGATGGGCTACTAATTTTACAGTATCTATTTAATTAGCCATAGTTGAAGAGATCTGGAAAACTGTGAATAACTCAGGACAATGGAATCATAAAAGATCATTTTAATCAGTAACTATAAAGGAATAACTGAAATGCAGCACTTGTGCAATGTTTACAGAAAACAACTTTTAACTACCTGTTTCTATTTAGAGCTTGAAATTGGATATTCAAAATGGCTGTGCAAGACTAGGCTGAGGATTTTGAATGCAAGATCTTCACAACTTTCCCTGGATATTTGCTCCACAAATTTCTAGCTATTTTTCAAATGTTCTTTATCCAGACAGGAAAAGTTTAAAAAGTATTTTTTTCTCTTATAATTTCTTATAGAATCCATAACCTGAGCATATACATATACTTCAAAAATTACTGTAATTTTTCAAGTGCTCTTTACTTGATATGAAAAGATAAACTCCTTGTTTAGTATTTCCTATAAAGTGTTAATCTAGTTTCTTAATAAAATACTAAAAATTTGGAGGGCCAAGATAGTAGAAAGTAGTTAAGTAAGTGTTAAGACTTGCTTGTGACTAACTTTGATTTGGTCATTGGTACCACATAATATGGTCTCCTGAGCACCATCAGAAGTGATCCCTGAGCACAGAGATAGTTAGATGAACACTGCTGGGTGTGAACCCCAAGCCCCCAAAATATAGTCAAGATCTTGAGGTAAATAAATGAGGTAAGAAGCAGAACATTCTTACAAAAGTAAGGTTCTCTCTTTGGAAGTATAAAAGTAGTTCTCTTAATGTGGACATGACATAATTACCATTTATTCTAGTTAAAGTCAAATTTTCTCCTGCTCAAGTATCAAGAACGTTAGTGCAGAGAGACACTTAAAACCCAATTTAATTAAAAGAGAGATTCCCTAACCTTTCACTTAAGTTCAGTGAAGGAGGCAGAAAAATAGTTAGCTTAACTATGGAACAATTCTTATCATTGTGCTGTGAGCAGAGGAGGACATGAAAAATTTGTAAAAATTTTAAATATAACCAAATTTTCTAACTATATTAAACTGATAAGAACAGATACTACGCTTGATCTTAGCCAAAAGGCCGAGAAGCGATATTTTCTAAATATATTTAAAAAATTTAAGAATATTATAGAGATGTCATAGAATTTTAAGTATTTCAAAAATCTAACTTTCAACTCAAAGAATATAATTTCTATGAAGGGTCTATGAGAGCCTCACAATGTATAGATTGAGCACTTGAGATGTAATTTTTGTGCCATATCCTCCTCTCTTCAAAAAGTTGTGCAGGTGTGGCATGTGAGATTGTCTTGGAAATGATTTATAGCAATTTCTCATATCAATGTTTCCTACCATGTGTTTTTGATTTTTCTTTTTGTTAACTGTTAAGGCTATGGGTATTAATTTTTCATCTACTGAAATAAAGTTTTCAAGTGATATATGTAATTTTTATAATTCAGTTAAATAAAGGCTGCAAATCAAAGAAGAAAGCTGGTTGTTCCTGGTAAAATTTTATGGCTCTACTAAGTTGCTGTTTGTTCCCAGAGGAGAGAGTGTGATCAGCCAAGGATAGTAGTGATTCAGCACTTTGTACTAGTCAGCTTTCAAAAAGAATTTGTTGCCCTAATTAAACTCATATTTTTTATATAATTTATTTCTTTATTGAATCACTGTGGGAAAAGTTACAGAGCTTTCGGGTTTAGGTCTCAGTCATGTCAATATCAAACACATTTCCCTTTACCAATACTTATTTTTAATCGCGAACCCCAATAGAACCCCACCTCCCACCCCTCCCAATTCCTGTGAGGCAGATGAGTTCTAGTTAATACTCTATCTACTTTGACTAGATACATTGTTTCGATGGAAGATGCACAATTATTGTTTAGAGTTTACGCCCCCCCCCCCCCAATCAGACATGCTGAAACAGCGTTGTGAAATGATTTGCTTTCTACAACTTGGATTTCTGCTATTTTACTTATTGACCCTGGAAGAATTTCTTTTAAAAGTTAGATAGTTAAGAGATTGGTTTCTGTGCCCTGGAGTCGTGGCCGTGCCGGAGAGCCGCTCATGGGGGGCAGCTGGCGACCTCGGTCAGGCGTGAAGGACGGCCCATTACGCCCCCCTTCCCATGAGGTCCCTGCCGCTCCCACCACCCCCGGCTCAAACCTGCTGTCCACAAGGCTCCCGTGCGGCCGCCATCTTTCTAAACTCATATTTTTAAAAACGAATGTTGATAAATGGGAGCTGAAAACAAAAAACAATAATGGGAAAGCATTTTAAGTAAACTAGCTAAAATATAGTACAGTGCATAGGGTCCTTGCCTTACCCATGACCCACTCTGGTTCCATCGCCAGTACTTTATATGGTCCCCTGCCCACCAGGAGTGATCCCTGAGAACAGAGAGCCAAAAGTAAACTCCAAAATGAGAGAGAGCTTTATCATATGCAATAATTTTCATTTTACAAAAAGAGAAATACTTCATATGATACCGATCTCATTAAAGCAAACAATAATTCTTGATGCCTAAAAAATAAGAGACAATCATGTGGTCATTTTCAACTGAACAATAAATATTCTGATGAGAATTATACATGTCAGTGATATTTTATTTAGTACACAAATGGGAGTCCTTTATTTCTTTAGTTTTGTTACCTTTCTTCTATCTATTCCTACAATCTCATAAACATTGTCACTATAGCACTGTAGCACTGTCATCCCATTGCTCATTGATTTGCTCGAGAGGGTAACAATTATGTCTCCATTGTGAGACTCGTTACTGTTTTTGGCATATTGAATATGCCACAGGGAGATTGCCAGGCACCGCCATGTGAACGGGATACTCGTGGTAGTTTGCCTGGCTCTCTAAAAAGGATGGAGGAATCGAATCTGGGTTGATTGCACACAAAGCAAATGGTCTACCAGTTGTGCTATTGCTCCAGCCCCTCACAAACACCACCACATTAATTTATCTGTCGTCTTGGGCTCTATGTTCAGCTAACTGCTGATTCCCAGTGATTTTTATTTTTCGGATTTCTTCTTTCAGTTGAAACTGTCTGGTTTCACAACTCTCTCCCCGCACCACCCCCCCAGCCACCTCCCCAACACACTTCATTGTTTTGTGCCTATATAGACCCCCTATAGCATATATCCTTTATCTTCAGATAATTTCAAGAATGTTCTGCAATTAAGTCCCTTTTTCAAATTCCAGGCAGGTGCTCTTCATGTTTGCTCACATTGTTCTTAGACTTGGGGCAGGTTCGTATTTACACTCCTTCCAAATGCCTGATTCCTTAGATATCTTCTTCCAATAATTGTCTGCAGATTAGGGAGGAGACTTGCAGTTTCTCCTTGTGAGTGGTGTCTTCAAGGCTCAGATTTGTCCCTGGTCATAGAGCCAGTTATGAATTTATAGCCCTAATATCTTATGGCTTATATCACCCCTGGGCTTTGCATGCTTTCCCTTAGACCAACAGTGAATGATTGTATTGTTGACTCCTGCTGCGAATGGAAAGATCTATAAATGCTCACCACCTGTCTCTGTTCTTTAGTCCTATAAAGTTCTTGTTTCCCTGCTCTGTACACGGATTTCAGAAATTTCCTGGTTCTAGTACTTGCCTAAACTAAGACTGAGCTTACTGCATTTTTA